TACTTGAATGATAAATAATGATTTTTTAATTAATTAGTTGATTGATTAGAGAATTATGATTATATACTTTAATTGTTAAGTAAACTATAATTAATTAAATTAATTATAATGATTATAATTTATGATTAATTAACTCATAATCACATATTTAATTCCTAAGTAAACTATGATTAATTTAATTAGTTAATTGATTATAAAATTACCATGTGCTAACTGGATAGTCAAGGTTACTTTTACAGCAAAATAGACAGTCAAGATTACTTTGAGAGCAAAATGGGTAGTCAATCATACTTTGACAGCCAAATGGGCAGTCAACTAAATTTTGATAGTTAAATGGACAGTAAACCATACTTTGACAGGATCATACTTTGATAGCCAAATGGATAGTCAACCATACTTTGACAGCCAATATAATGGTATAATTTCATTTTCCTTTTCACTCGCATATTTTTTTTTCATGTTGGTGCATACCATATACTAACATATTACTGAATTTTATGTTAATTATATAGGAATTGTTGAGGATACTCCTGAATCATTATGGGATTGTCCATCTCGAAGTCTTCCAAGGAAGAAGTTGACAAAAGTAAGGAATTATATAGCAATGCTTGAAGACATTCCATTGCCTAAAAAAGAAGACAATGTTGTTTGTCAAATATGTGATATTCTTGGACATTTAGCTACTATATGCCCGCATCAATATGCAGTAACTTGTCAACTGTGTAACCATGAAGGTCATACTGAAAAAGTTTGCCCAAATCGTTGCCGATCAGAAATTATGTCAAACCCATCCAAAACACCTGCTGAGTCCTCTGAAACCATTACAAAGATTTTAGGTAATTGTCGTTTGTGTTTTATATTTACCAAAAAAAGTCTTGGGATGAGGCATGTGAACAATTACGTGCTATTTAAGAACTGTAGTATCTTTACCTTACTTATCTATATTCTGCAATATATTTTATAATCTCCCTTATCCATGTATGAGATTAGGACATACTACTTTAATTAGGACATATATGTTATGACATTTTAATTATGATATTAGGTTATCTTTCATATTTATGTGTTTCAATTACATGTTTTAATGTATGTTTAGAACATAGAGCTAATTATTTGGTAGAAATTTTATAATATATTACGTATAAATTTTATATAAAAAAGTTTGAAACAAATTAAGTAAAAAAGAAGAGGAGACATCAAAAAGCAAGAACTAGAGCAATAAGCAAAAGACTTAACTACCTATTTCGGCCAAAACACTTGACCAAAAAAAGGCAACCCAATATCCATTCCCGGAGAAAGAAAAATTGATCTTTCATTTGGTCAAAATGATTAGTTCGGTCAAGCACAATGAC